GAAAAATTTGTTCAAATTTATGAGAGATGCTTCAGAGGGAAGAGGAAGCTGTTTTTGATGCTTCCCGAAACAGAGCCATTGTCTCAGATGCTTATTCAGATAGTTCATTGAACCTCTTTGCCTATGAGAGAATTTTTACAGCAAAGAGGCCACCGAAAAACTCGGACGCAGTTCCTAGAATTTCTACAAAAAAGCCCTAATTCACATCACTATCTCTATGATAGTGAATCAGGGCTCTGGTGGAAAGTAATGGGTCACTGGACATGGAATGTTGGAGAAAGGGTTTTAAAAATCTTGTCTGATGAAACGAAACCGGAAACTGTGGAAGGCTCTAGAGTCTTTTGCGAGTCTATAATGCCATCAAATCAGTGCTGGACACTAGTCAGGCAATCGCCAGCTAAGCCCGTTTACACAGCTTGTTTCGGATAGAATGTCAGAGGAAGGAGTGAGGAAAAAATGCACTTTTGCTTTGGAAAAAAATACGTGCACGACAAGCTTCTTTAGCTTGTTAGAAAGCTAAACTGACAACTTTATATCTCATTGGAAAAATTCTGTTCTAACAAATTTATTTACAAAAATATATGGAACAAGATTCAACGCTGAAGGCTGGGTCAAATTAAATCAAGAAAGTGATCGTGGTAACCTGACCTTTACCACTATAGACACCCACAATCAAACATTTAGCCAGGGTGGCGCGTGGCAATCCATCACCGAAACGCGATCCAGCATTTGATAACCGACGGTATCAAGGTGACATCGCGCGCATTGAGGATTCGGACCCCCGAACTGATGCGGTAAATCACTGGCAAGGTAGATGCAGTTTTGATACGCGCCTACGCCCCAAAATCAATTTACTTGATCATTGAGGACAGAGTGAATGCAAATTTCCAAAAGTTATGAACTGATCTTGTCAGTAGGAATGTCCGACTTCCAATGAATCTTGGAATGGTTAAATCGCAAAGAGAAGTATTTCTGGCGATGACTCGTAAACCAGAGTTGAGCAAAAGGTCAGACACAACTCCTTCAAACACGATTCCCCCCCCCCCCCCTTGCGCTTGACCCGGTCAACTTTATCATCGAAGAATCTTTTCCATCCTAGCTTTATGTGACTTGCTAGCACCAACCTCGAGAATTCTAAAGTAGGTGTTTAAGCTTACTTGGGCTTGTTCCGGCTTTATGGTGGAGTTGAAGCACCCAAGGTGGAATAGGCGGTGATTGAATCTTTGGCTGCACTTTTTGATCCACTTTATGAGGGCGATAGGAGATCTCTACCGTAGGCTGATACGAGGAAGTACAGTCGAGTAGATTTAGCGGTAAATATAGTGTGCTCGCACAGAAGGTGAAATGCGGTGAAATTTGCGCGTGAACAAGTAGCCACGCCAGTACTGCGGGTATTTTGCGCGCGCAATTGGCCGGCGTCACAGTCGAAGCTATTTCTTCACGCGCCAATTTTACCGCATTTCACCTTCTGTGCAAGCACACTATATTTACCGCTAAATCTACTCGACTGTACTTCGTTTTGAACACAAGAAAACAGACATCTTTTACTTTTGTGACCAAGTTAATCATGTTTGAGAATCTCGCTTCCTAGACGTTAGGAGACACTAGAAAATGTGATAGCTGGCGGTTTGTAGTGCTCATCTAGGTACAGTCGAGTAGATTTTCCTCATAATATAGTGTGCTTGCACAGAAGGTGAAATGCGGTAAAATTTGCGCGTGAGGCATTAGCTTCGACTATGACGCCTGCCAATTGCGCGCGCAACATGCCGGCAGTGCTGGTGCAGCTACCTGAAACGCGCGAATTTTACCGCATTTCATAAAGTGTGCAAGCACACTATACTAAGCCTAAAATCTACTCGACTATAATTTGGCATGCTAATTAAGGAAATCTTATCCATTTCACACAGCAAGCCTCTTTGATGACAGTAATGATAGTCACTGGTCTAGCATTCTTTTTCTTCACCTCACTCAATCGTAACATCCGCTCCAATTTGTGAACAAATTCGTCTTGATTACGAACCCTCCCCTCAGTTTTACCCCTATACGGCCCCACAGGTCAGGCGCGCCTAACGCCAAGCTCAGCCCTGCGCGTAAACTCGCGCCTTAATTAGGTCAGCTCTTTCGATCTAGTTTTTCAAGAAATGGAGGTCCCCAAGCGGTCAGTAGTCATTTGGCTCTCGCGTCAAAAAGCTCTTCAGCGTAACCCAAAAGGTGAGTATTTGGCTATCTGCTTTCAGCTGAGTGTTGATCGTATTACCCATTTCAGGCTTTGAAGAAGGCGCTGTACCGAAACGTTAGCCACTTAAAGGCAGTGGATCGGCAAAACTTGACATCCCTGGATCCTAACGCAGTAGGTTCCTTATCATCCAAGTATGAAGACAGTGCAATCCCGGTTGCACAGCATTGCCTTCCCTGTCGAGAAAATCGCCCTTAAATTTACACGCGCAAGCCAATCTTACACGCACCCGGACGAATTGGCAACTTCCATCCCACTATTGGAGGCTGCCCGCCGCAATGCTATAATCATTGGGTCCCGCAACGATTCAGCGCCATCAGCCTTGCTCCACTCGTCCAATCTTGAAGAGAAGGAGTTGAAAAACCCTCGTTTTTGCCGTTTTCGAGCTCCCTAAAGTGTATTTTCGTGATCAGCGTACTGAATACCCCAGGTAAGCGAAAATTGGACTAGGTTGAGATTTGCCGAGCCACTGCCTTTAAAGGCAGCGTCCAGGCGAGTCTGGACCTATGGGGATTCTACGTGGAAAGTAATTTTGGGGACCTAACTAAGCCACTGCCCAACCGGCAGCTCAGGTAGTGCTCTAACGGCTGAGATATTCCCCCCGAAACTGGACCCCGCGACCGTGTTTCGCATGGATTCATGGCGCAAAGCGTGGATCCCGGCGCGAAACCGCCATGAATCCATGCGCATACGTTCGCGGGGGCCAGTTTCGAGGGGAAAATCTCAGCCATTAGAGCACCACATGAGCTGCCGCTTGGGCAGTGCCTTAGTTAGGGCCTCAAAAGTACTTTCCACGTAAAAGCCTCATAGGTCCAGATCTGCCTGGACGCTGCCTTCAAGTATTTGACAATGATTTCGTCAGTGTTACGAACTTCTGTATAATCAAGAATCCTTAAACTGAACGCAGCGTTCCGGCAGAATCAGGTTATCCCAAAATCAATCGCACGGCACAAATTATTTACTTGCTGCCCTCTTTACTAGGTAGTCCTTATAAGAATCCATGTCCCGCTCGCTCACAGAACTGCATATGAATCGGGCGAGCCTGAATTTGCACGAGCCGGACAACATCACTCGCTACTACAACTTGCGCATTGTTCGTACTAGTCGAGTAAAAATTTGCAAGATGTGCGAAATTTTCGTGTCAAGACCTACTGTCCATAATTTTGTACGAGCTTTTTTCTGGAAGCTGCGAAAACCTTGCAAGTTGGTCGCTACATAATTTTCTGTACAAAGCCCGTATTTGGGTTAACGCGTCGAGGTTTGGAAACTGCAGAGGCCGTATTCATCATTGATACCTTGAGGTAAATCCTAATTCCAGGTAGCTTTATCACTCATTATCAGTGATAAAACTATATGATAATGATTGATAAAACTACCTTGAAGTAGGATTTACCTCAAGGTATCAAATGAATACGGCCTTAGAAGATCGGCTACGAAGTTCCTGCGGGCCTGCGCTGTCACCGTCACCAAATCACTCCGCTCGCATTAACACTAGGTTCGCTGGGACACAGCCTGAGTCACTCGCGAGTTGCTGTCATGACGCAGGCGCGAAGTATTTGGGGATGAAATCTCCCAGCGGCAAATGAAGTTTGCGCTGTCGTTTAGGCCTAAGGCATACTCATGCGATTTGACCAAATCGCGACGTCCACGCGACTTGGCGTTCTAGATATTCAAGATTCTTCGTGGGCATTGGTTTTTAAGAGCATAGGCGCATAGCTTTTGTAAGTTCTTGCAAACGGACAAGTCCTGTTCAAACGAAGGGCGGTGACGGCCAATTAGGAACAGTCGCTCGTAGCGGCGGAAATCGCGTGAGGTAAGTCTTAGGCCTTAGATAGTACCTTGGTTAGGACGCCCTCATCAGTTTCCAGGCAAAAAACCTATGCGTCGAAATTTGCCTGAACACTGCTTTTGAGCTAGCAGGCTCTTCTGATTCTCCTTGTTCCTTAGACTTATTTTAGCGGTCACATTCTTGCACTTTAAGGTAGCTCCCAGGCAAATACGGAGTGCCTGGGAGCTACCTTAAAGCTACCTTATAGTGTAACACTGGACACATGGAGACCGCGCCTGGAAATTGATTGTGGGAGCTCAAAGACACTGCCCAAGCGCAGCGAGATGTTTCATTCGTGGCTAAGATGATCGCCCCCAAATCTAATTACTACAGTCTTCGATGTGACGTTGCTTCAAGTTCTCGTTTTGATTGTCGCAATGTGCTTTAAAACAGCTTACAGAGGAAGGATATTTGGTGACCGTAACCATCCATAATGACACACTTATTACCAAACGCGTTTTAAAACGCTGATAACAAATCTGCTATGCGATTGTCTAAAGTTATGAGCTTTTTTCCGAAAAGTCTTTGCACTCTCAAGCATAGTCGGAGTCATGTATATCTCAATTATTTGAGGAAAGCAATTGAGACGGGTTATCCGCGCTCAAACTATTTGCGATCCTCTTCTAATCTTGATTTGAGGAGGGACAAAAAATTTCAGCAATGTTCATAGTTTTGCTTAATTAAAACAGTGCAAATTCTCATGGAAAAACGTTCGTAACCTACTGTAAACAATCTCTCGGGATATAGATAGCATAAGCAGATTTGAAATCCGTTTATGGCACATCTAATGACATATGTTTTACTGCGAAAGGAACGGTCACCTAGTATCCTTTCGTTGTTAGTACTATTCCTTCCAACATTCTCATGCAGTTTTACTCCTTTCAGCTTTTCAGCTCAACTGTTCTTGGATGTTGACATAATTTCAATGTTTTATGAGACGTGGTCAATAAGAATCGTCAAAATCTTCAGATTGTAGAACGAAGTTATCGTATGATCAGTGTGACTGTGTCGTAGTTTGGTCGTCCCATTCAAAATCTGCTTCATCATCAACTAATTTGCAACACCGCTATAACAAGTTCTGTTTAGGTGGAAAAAAGAAGCAGTAGTAGGAACGTGTACCTTTAATGAGACCATTAATCTATTATAGTCTGGGATGGATGTATAGCTGAGATCGCGGAGCAGTATCGGAAACATTTCGAAATGACGGGGAAGATATCTAAGCACAAATTTTTTGAGTACTATAGACATGACTCTGTGAAACTTACCTGCAGAGATCATAATAGGAAAGACGTCGTTTTAGCTGGAAGATCTCGTCGTGGTCAGTGATAGTCCGCCATGGTAAGCCGCCTTCAGCTAGTTCCACTAACGTGTAATAGATGCTCCATAAATCATCCACGGGTCCCTTAGTCAAGCTAATTTAATATCTGTCTTTACGCTTGATTTACGAGTTTATAAAGCTAATAACCAATTTTCTTGCTGTCATACGACCTCAAGGGTAGCGTTCGTGCAAAAATAACTCCTTCGCTCCCCCTAGGCTTATCTATTGTTGATTTTTGCAATCAACCTTGAGAGGAGCATAGCAGAAGCAAACTTTTCTTGAAGCTGCCTTGTACAGGGTAAGAATTTGCATCGAATTCTAATTTTTAACAGCTTCTTTTGTATGAATGATCTTTGACAACCTTGTGTAAAAGCTTGTAGCTTTCGCGATCCACTATATTGCAATGTTGGCTTCAACTTAGTTTCACTACGGAGAGCATCACTGTTTGCTTTACCGTAGGGTTACGAGGGAAACTTATATAAAAGCGTTCTGAGCTATTGGTAACCTTATTTTACTTCAGTAATAGACCTTATTTTGAGTTTAGACTGACGGACTGAAATAGTTTTCGGTAAGGGCGATAACGAAAAGGCTGTGCCACCTTAGATAATGACAGTGCCGGGTTCTGTCACCCTACAATTCGGTAGGTTTAGAAGCGATCTGTGTCATATTAAGGCGTGAATCAAGTGTCCGCGTGAGTGACTTTCTTGCTTCTGTTAGCATAATGGCTTCGCATTTGCATGAGGCAGCGGACGTCCCTTTCGCATGACAGTGAAATCGCAGACCCCAAGCTTGCCTGAGCTCCAACTTTTCATATTCTGGTAAAATTTCTGACCAGCACCGTCATACATGTTTTGCTTCAAACTCAACTATACCTGCTCCTTCCTCTCGTGAACCGCTAGCGATACATATCGCATCGTTCCTCGAAAGGCCGCGTAAACACGTTCCTTGCGAAAGTCACCATTTGGTAGGCGATACTGACGAGTCATGCCTACATAGACAGTTCACATGAAGATGCGGAGTGGCGCTGTAACTTACCAAAGTCGACAAGGTAAATAATTCTGCGGTGCTCTCCTATGCCAACGCACATGTTTGAAGGCTTCACGTCTCTGAAATGCAGTCATTTCTGATTGTAAGGCATTACAAGCAGCAGCACGAGTCCGTGTCATACTGCAGCTCTACAATAGCTGCTGATAACGCACCTTTTGCGTCTTTTCCAGATGTAGTGACTATACACAGCATGATTCTTTTGCTTAGGCTGGGTTCATACTGATTCCATGTTCTGCTGCATGCGCTGCGGCCGCCCCGCACGCGTCTTGAGCGGCATTAGTTAAAGAATTTTGACCGTTTTTGACGGTTTTTCTTCCATATTTCTCTCATTTTGGCCTTATTCCTCTACCCGCCCCTTTTTATCGGCAGAACTTCGGGCTCGAAGCATGAAACACTGGACAAAAAATGGACGAGAAGTTGGACAAGCGCACGAAGACCAATCTGCCGGATATGGAACAGAACAAGGTTATTTTTTCAACCCCGCTTCAATTTCACAACTTCTCTCATCAGAAGGGGAGGGGTAGAAGAAGCAACGGAGAAGCAACGATGTGGAAAAAGGAAAAGGGCTGAGAATGCCCAAAAACGAAACTCATTAGTAAACAATGGAAAAGTAGCAAATTTATGCAATTTCAGAGTTGCTAGTAGTCGCTATTTCATGGCAGATGACTATGGAAACTACGCAGGGGCTTCTTGAAACAAGTGGATTAGGTCTAATTGTGAGTAAAAATATGTAAAACGAAGAGAGAATGGACGAACATGAGAACGCACGTTTTTTCGCATACACAGAGCAGAAAAGCGCTCATTCTTCCATCTCGCTTCGAGTTCGAAGTCCTGCTGATCAAAAAAGGAAGCGAGGTGGAGAAAGAAGGCCAAAATGAGAGAAATACGGAAGAAAAATCGTTGGAAACGGTCAAAATTCTTTAACTCCCGCCGTTCAAGACAAATGCGGGGCGGCTGCAGCGCATGCAGCACAACATGGAATCAGTATGATCCCAGCCTTAGCTACAACTGCTGCCGTACGTTAGATCACCGGTCTTGGGCGTATCTGGAGCTCCGGACATACCCCGCGCAATTTCAGTTGCCGCACGATTAGCAGTTTGCCAGATGTGATCCACCATCACTGGCAGAAACGAATACATAGGCACCTATGAGTCAAAGTTCGGTCTTTCTTTGCCACTTCTAACCCCCAAAATTTCAAAGCGAAAGCAGCGCCCATCTCCTGCCCTCTCCGAACACGCCCACCCCATGGACGAGTGACTTCCACGTCAGAGCGCCAGCCGCAATGCTTATAGCATGGCGGATTGCTTATAGCCGCAATGCTATAAGCATTGCGGCTACGCAACGGCTCGTGCGTCTTCGCCATGACGGGCTTCGCGTTCACTCGTCCATGGGGTGGGCGGGTTCGGAGAGGACAGGAGATGAGCGCTGCTTTCGCTTTGAAATTTCGGAGGCTAGAAGTGGCAGAGAAAGATCGAACTTTGGCCCATAGATTCCATTATGAAGGCTCCTACCCTGTGACCTTGTTTTGCCAAGGATCTCATTCTGCCGATCTACTGCCTTTAAGGGCCAGGCATACTTCACGCAATTTCAGTCGCGACGCGATTTGGCATCGCTTCAGAGTTTTGTAGCTCATCTAAGCTATTATGGGCACGCGTACAGAACATCTCATGAACGAAAGTTATGCACACTATGCCCTTTTAACTTAAAAAACTGGAAACATACATATGGGAAATTGTCAAAAGCAGTACAGCTGAAATCAAGCCATGTCCAAGGCTTTGGGTAAAAACATTCTTAAACATGGTATTGTTACTTTGCTAGAAAATCTTTCGGACAAACTCTCATCGGCCGATCTTGCAAGGAGTTTTGCTCAAAATCATCTAGACTTATAATAAAGCGCTAAGCGTCTGTCTGTTTGTCTGTGTGTGTGTATATCTGTCTGACACGAAATTCACAGAGTGAGTTGCAGCCAGCGTCTTGATCTAGAATTTTAGTCATAGCACCCTGTCAGAGTGTAGGTAAACTATGCAAAATCACAAGCCGATCCAGTAAGTGGAACCATCGAAAACTGTGCGTCAAACGGATCCACGCGACTTTTGGCCCTCCAAAATGGGTCGGTAATTGGACTTTTTGCAAAGTCGTGGATTCGTTCAGCAATTAAATCCGAAAAACATTGACTTCAGCTCAAAAAGTAAGCAAAAAGTCTATTTTTACTCAAAATTGGCGCCAAAAAGATGTAACTGAGCAAATTGTCGATTTGCCAAGTTTTTACTGTGGAAATTGAGAAGTTTTTTGAGTAGATATGTAGCTCAAGGTGGCCTTTATCCTTATGGCGACTATAGAGCCAAAATAAATCCAGTAACCCATTCAAAACCGCATTTGTTTTTCTGCGGGAAAATTTTTTTCTCCCAAAATTACCGATCTTACATGGAAAAGCCCTAAAAATGAATAGTTGCTTACAATTCATTCGTGTTGTTCAGCATCGCGCGGTGAGTTTCAAAGCCATTGTTATGCTAGAAGGCACGGATAGTAGAGCCAGTGCGAACCTCGGCGAAGCAGAGGTGACGCACTGGTAACTTATGATAACGGGCTAAGGGTTGTTTACGTTTGTGTGTGTGTGTGTGTGTTTGTGTGTGTGTGTGTCTGAATCTCTGTCTGTCACGAAATTCATGGAGCGAGTTCCAATAAATTTCTTGAGCTCAAATTTTGCACAGAGCATGATACTCAAATGCGAGTCCACTGTACAAAAGCATGAGCGGATCCGTTGTGTGCATCCCTCAAAAAATGCGCGTCAGTCGGATCCACTTGGCTTTTGGTCAGTAATTGGGCCTGTAGCACAACTTTTTGCAAGGTCACGGATTGTTTGACAAGTTAATGTGCAAACGATGGACTTTAGCTCAAAAAATTGAACTAAAGTTTATTAGTTTGCAAAAACGGGCCAAAAAGATTTGGTTGCGTAAATGTATACTTTGCCAAGGTTTTACCCGATCATTTGAAAAGATTTTTGCACAGAGATGTAGCCCAAGGTGACATTGTATCTTATGGCAAATGCCAAGCCGTGAAAACTCCAAAAACCGATTCAAATCAGCATTTGTTCCTTTGGGAGAAGTTTCATTCACGCGAAATTACCGATCTCAGATGGAAAAGCTTTTAGAATGAATAGTTGTTTACAAAGCATTCGTGATAGTAGGCATAGCGCGGTGAGTTTCATTGTCACTTTTGTGCGGGAATGAGTAAAGCATCAGAAAGTAGGGCCGTGCGAGCCTCTGCGAAGCAGAGGTGACGCACTGGTAATTTCATAATCCAACAATCAACCAAAAGACTCATTTTGGTTGAGCTAAAATTATACTGCGGAAATAAGCACCGAAGGAGGCGTTCCTCCATTGTCATAACTAGGGAGGCTGCACATATTGAAAGTCCGCAGACCAGCTTTAACGCAGCATAACCGTTTGGCAGAAAGCCTGCAGTTCTCTTGTGTGGTCTGTAAGAAAAGTCACCTGTGAAGAAAACCGAGTTCGTGCACAGCTTTGAGCGCTTCCACCATTTGTACGCCTATTCGGACAGTCTGCAATACTGTGTTCAATCAGGTTTCTCAGACATTTGCTGCAGTACCGTGTGAACCGTAAAACGTCGTTCTGGCTGTGCTTTTCTTAGTTCGGTTAGATTTCTACCTAGCATTTGCATAACTATGAAATTGTAATTGTTCAGCGACCCAGAAGCGAACTGTAATGTAATACATCTGTGTGAGCTGTATTTGATGATTATTACCTTTAAAAAAAAACTGGTCCCTATACGCATACAGCGCAAGCTTTGCGGAAGCTTGTTTGTGTTAACGTATCCAGAAAATAGAAACACTTACCAATCGTGGGGAATGCCTCGTTCCGACAAGCTTTGTGAGAACCATCTGCTCCAAAACCATACGTCCAGCGTCTTCAGATTGTGGCTCTACTTTAGCTGCTACCACCGTTCCCATATCCTACAAATAATAGCCTTACAAAAGTTTATAGCGTTCTTTGAGATTACCACATCTGTAGCACGATAAATCTGGCCAAATCCACCGCCGCCTATCATCTTTTCAAGGCGAAACTTTTTTGAAAGGATTGTACCCTTGTCCAGATATTGAGGAGCGTTTTTGCCGCGAACCTGGGAAGAGACACGTTGCTCTGTTCAAGAACAGAAGCGTACCTTAGACGTGTGTGGCTGATGTAACTGTTCAGGCTTTGGAACAAGCAAAGGATCAGGATCCAAGGCACGACGTTCTAATTGATTGGTGATAATCATTGCCGCTTGCCGGGTATCACTAGCTGTCGGACTTACAATCTATGAAATGACTCGTATCATTAATTAGAGCTTGTTTATGCTATGCCTCAACTTTCAAAATGATAATGATCATTTCTGCCTAACAATACCGTCCTTGGGTATAGTTCTCTTTCGTGATAAATTCGATGACGTGAAATTATGCGTAGAAGTTTTGCGAGGAAAGAGTTTGTGAGAGAATGCTCAACAATAAGTACCAAACAGCTTTATTTACATTCGGAGTTGCAGTATCCTTTTTACTTCGACTAAAGAACAGTACAACCCCATTTAGGCATAAACGATGGGCAGATGATCTATACCAAATATGATTACTTCAAATTGTGCCAGTCAACAAAACACAACAGGACACGAGCATTAGTATCCGACACGTGCCTATTGTTAGAAGCAAGATTAATTTGTTTTGAATTCCGTTTCCATGTATGCCAAAGCACTTAATCTAATGCACACAGGTTCGAATATCAAATCCTGGAGGTCACATAAGCTATAATGGTGGCTCAAAAAATATGTACTTTATGCAGGCACATTGAACGACAGTAGTTGTATAAGCTGATGTTTTGTGAAGAGTTTTTTCTGTGTCAATTCGATGCAATACAAACGTATCAGTTCTTTTTTGAGAGAGAGAGGACAACTCAGACAATCAAAGGCTCTCACCCGGCCCCTTCAAAAGATATGGTAGTCCGCTCGCTGCCAGTTCTAGCAATCTTTCTCAAAGGGGAACGAAAGTGGCGGCGATAAGGCAGCGGCGCTTTTGGTGGGGCCGGCTGAGAGTTTTGATTGTCTAAGAAGCAAAAACCACACCAAGACTTCTTAGTAGAACCTCTACAAAGAAGTCTGCTGCGGCCGTATTCATCAACGAACTCTGATGGTAAGTTTAACCCCACGAAACGATTAACCCGTATTCACGAAGCACAAAGTAGGCTTAACCCCGAGATTTAAATCTACCTTTGAGGGTAAAACTTACACCGAAAGCGACTAGCACGTATTCATGAGTGTGATTCATCACGGTTAATTCAACCTAACTTAGAGCAAAGTTAACTCTACCCTGACACTTTGTGCAGACATAAAGTGATCTCTCGATGCACTGCTTATCTAAGGATACTATTTGACAACAAACTTATATAAAATTGATATTATCTCAAGTTTGTTAAGTCCTCTTCTGTCTCGTCTAATTTTATTATAAGAATTAGGATAAAATTTTTCTAGTACTTTATTGTTCAAATCAGAGCGTTTTTGGTTGAGTTACGACAGCATAATCGCTTAAAACGTTGTTAATATTGGTGGACTCAAATTCGATTAAAGGAGCCCTAGCCAAGCTTTGTTAAAATTTGTCCTATCAAAGTCCTCAATTGGACATGTACTTCATCTGAAACTAGATCTTTTCCTATAACATTCGGATGAATGTAACACCGGTCGATAACATCAAATTAAAACACGAATAGAGGCCATAGGAAGTTTGACTTATCATTAAGTTGGCTAATAAATAAGTTCGGTCGCTTTCAGCTCTTACAAATGCTGTAGACAAATTTTTGTCCAATGTTTGGTATCTCTGAAAAGAGCGCTTCATTGGGTATTGGAGCATATATTCTGTTTGAGTAAAACTTATCTTCAGCAAAAAAATCCGCAAAGAATTAAAAAATCGCAATTTTCCCATAACGCGCAAGTATGAGAAAATTAGTTTCCTTAGAGAATCATTTTCAAAATGGCAGATCACAGTTCTTTTTGTTGTTTACTAAATAGAGATAACTTCTCTGTATCCAAACACCAAACTGCTGTTCTTTACATCCATTACAGCATGAAATCGAAGCTCAAGAAGTCAAAGAATTGAGCTTTTAGAAATTTCGCCATGTTGAGGCATAACTGTCTTTACTGACGATAGGAAATCCTGATTATTTTATGTGGGATAGTGGAAGCTTCGAATTATTTTCCTTTGAAGAATCATAGATTGAAAACAACAAGAAAATTTTTATTACAATTTGTATGCCAAAGCGAACTTACTTTTTAGCCAACCTAATAGTAACTACAAATGTGTGTTCTTTGTCAAAACAGTATCGCCAAGCCTGAGTGGTACACACCACCCTATGCTCAAGGGATCGTTGATGAATACGGCCATTGAACCCTGAGGGTTAAACTTAAGCTCCAAGGTTAGTTTAACCCTCAGGATTCGTTGATGAATATGGCCACTGGAAATGAACGAAAAACGAAACAAGCTGCATCTACTAGTCGTCATTTGCGCTTGCACAATACTTATCAATTCACGCTCCCACTTTTATAGGAAAAAGCAACAGAGCTCATTTTCATTTCGCTGTGAGGACGAGGCGGCGATTCGAAGCGAATTAGGTCTGTTGAGAGGAGACTGGAAGGCTCGTACTGCGCATCGAATGAAGGGGAAGCATATCGACAAAGTCGACTTTAAGAAGATTTAGGAGTGTCTCCGATGGCGATATTGGGGATTGTAGTTACTGTGTATTTATTAGTTCACCAGTGCGTCACCTCCGCTTCGCGGAGGTTTGCACTGGCTCCCTATCCGTATGCCTTTCTGATGTTCGCATGAGAATGGCTTTGAAACTCACCACGCGATGCTGTGCATCACAAATGAATCGTAAACAACTGTTCATTCATGAAGCATCTCCATGTAAGATCGGTAATGTGGAGAAAAAAAAACTTTGTTGCAAGGAAACAAATGGGAATTTGAACGGATTACTAAATCTATTTTAGTTTGATAATCGTCATAAGGATAATAGTCACCTTGGGCTACATTTCAGTGCAAAAATCTTTTCAGTTTCTCCAAATAAAACCTTGCCTTGCAAACAAATAAACCAACAAATCCACTGTCTACGCGTTCATCACTTTTTGGCGCTGTTTTCGCAAAAAAGCAAACTTTTTGAGCACTTTTTGGGCTAGAATTCATGGCGCGCAGGGTTACTTGTCAGGCAAATTATAACTTTGCCAAAAGTCGATTTAGCGACCCGGTTTTGCGTGCCAAAAGGCGCGTGGATCCGTCTGACGCGCAAATTTTGAGGGATCCGCTTATCGAACCGGCTCGTCCTCGTGCATGGTGGACCTACACGCTGGCACGGTATATTATGCAAAATTGCAGCCCGATAGCTTAGTTGCAGCTTCCTCTATGAATTTCGTGACAGACAGATTTACAGACAGACACACACACAAAAAAACAGACGGCCTTAGCGCGTTATTATAGTAGGATCGTTGTTTGGTTTTCCCTTGTATTGTAGAGGCTGGAAGAGTGCCCTACGAGCAACATCCGGACAAATTATCACAACCTCACCCCATCACTTTATCACTATTATCTTCAGTCAACAATGACCTTGTAAATCAACAAGTCTGAAGAATGTAAATGCCTGTGGGTGAGTGAGGTCGAGGATTCCGTCCACAAGTGTTCTGCTGTGAGGAGGATAAGTCTCCAGCTCACTAAGAGTATTCTCTCCACAAGTAGTCTGCTGTGAGGACGACAAATCTTCAGCTCACGTAGAGTATTCTTTCCACAAGTAGTCTGTGAGGACGACAAGTCTCTGATAGGCAAATTCTCCACAAGTCTTCTTCGGCTAGGATATCCAACAAGTATTCTGGACCGGGAGCAACAAGTCTCCTGCTCACTCAAACTTTCTAAGGATCAATCACAAGTATCCTGGGGAGCAGTTCGAGGACTGGCAAGTCTCTGGGGACACTCTGCAATCTACATCATCGTTGTTTGTAGTTGTCTTGTTTGCTAAAGTCTGAGGTACCACACAGACCCGTGGCAACCCCAAAACAGCAGCTTAACTAGCTATCCCTTTGCTACAAAGCACATCAACAAATGTGCAAAAATAAACGAAGAATAGGTCCTATCCATGAAAACTTACACAGGATTTGTCTCATCTTCCGTGGATAACTGCACCAGCAAGATGGAGGACGTCATCTAATATGTCTATAGGGGATAGTTGTAAGGAAGATAAACGCGCTTATTGCTGCGTATTTGGAAACCGATAACATAGTTGCAGCGGCTGCTTTTGATATGAAGATTTGGAAAGTCATTTTAAAGCGAGAGATATAAAGAATCACAAATCTGATTCACTCAAACAATCGATCCTGACGAAGTTGGTCAAGTACTGTCAAGTATTTTATCAGCATATTTATCCTAGAATGCAAGAGCATTTCTGATATAATCATGATTGTACCAAAACATGGGTAAAACGCTCGTTTTTCACTTATATGTGCGAGCGACTTGTTTTCACTTGTAAATAATTTGAACAATTTTCAAAATTTTTAAAAATTCAACAACTTTGTAAAAAAAAATATTCGGGGGCATGACTACGACCACGCCCTTTTTTATAAATTTCGTGGTTCTGAGTCCGCGAAAATTTTAGGGGGCATACCAAAAAAATTTTCGGAGAGCGTGGCTGACGCCACGCACCCTTCATCAAAAAAAATTTTTTTGCCCCCCCCCCCTCGAGCCGAAATCCTGGGTACGCCACTGGTAAGCAGAGAGTTAACGATCAATCTCTTTCTACAGAGTGATCCTTCAATACCCCCTGAAAATTGTGCCATAAGTTTCAAGCATACTCTTCCGCCCTGTTGAACAAGTGTTGACAGCTTTTTTTTCAGAGTTGTATCCCGAAATACCTAAGTTCTTTTGCTATTTTCATTCGATGGAGATACAGTCTGACTGTGCGGGTGGCTTTCTATAAAATCAAAGGCTCGAGTTGTCAGGTTATGTTTTCAAATGCATGCCCTAAACGTATTTTTCACTAGTCAAACTTAGGCTCGCTGGAACCTGAACAATAATCGACTAAATTGACATGCTCCTTATCAATCATGAGCATTTTTCATTACAACATAAACGAATGGGATCTTAGAACTGGTTCAACCACCTACTTTTCAAATAGCAACTGTTTATCAGAATTTTGAGAATTATAGGATAGGTTGGCTAAGTTCCGCTGCTAGTGCAATTTTTATTTGAGATATTATCTTCAATTGAAAAATGCGCTCTTAAAATGATCTAGAATGT